TATATATATATGTGTGTGTGTGTGTGTGTGTGTGTGTGTGTGTGTGTTACTGATTTCAGAGGAGAAGGAAGGGAGAGAAAGAGAGAGAGAGAGAGAAACATCAATGATGAGAGAGAATCATCGATCAGCTGCCTCCTGCATACCCCACACTGGGGAATCGAACCCAAAACCTGGGCATGTGCCCTGACCGGGAATCAAACCAAGACCTCCTGGTTCATAGGTTGACACTCAACCACTGAGCCACACCTGCTAGGCTATTTTCCTCTTTTTTTCTTGAGATCTTTAAGCAAAACAATTTCAGCAACAGATTTGCTGCAGGCATATATGAGAACCCACGTCTCTTAGGATATAAAGAGATTTGCAGCAAAATGAAACAATGCCAGGTCTCTTATTCTACTTTGTGTTTTTTATAAAACATGTTATTTATTTCAACCTGTGATGGGATTATTTTTAATGGACTAATAAATATTTTAAGGATTTTTAGTTTTAATTTCTAATAAAATGGAATATACGACAACATGAAGCAGTGACACCGAATTGCATTCCTTCCATGAAACCCATGGCACACAGCGGAAGCCAGGCTCATCCTGTTGTTTTCACTTACTCAGACCTTCCTCTCGTCACCACGGAAAGCGGGTGACAGCGCCTCTGTGGTCACTAGTTAACCTCACTCCGTGTTTTTACCATTTAGTTCCACAGGTTCCAACCATCACAAAACAGTCAAAAGAGCAAGTCGCCTTTCCCTTTGATGAATATTTTCAAATCGAATGTGAAGCTAAAGGCAATCCGGAGCCAAGGTGAGTGGCCTCCCGCCTGAGGCCTTTAGGTGTGAAATCCCCTTTCCTGCCGCTTCCTGGTTCAAGGCAGCCGTCCCCGCTCTGTAGCCTCACACGTGGGGGGTGGGGGATGGGGGGAGGGAAGAATGCTCTCTTTCATAGGGACACTGACCCAGCTCTCGAGAACCCCACCTCATGACCTCATCCTCTCCCACGGCCCCACCTCTGACCCCATCACACTGGGGGCTGAGTTTCAGTTCAGGGATTTGGAGAGATGTACGCATCAGTCTACAGCCGCTTGTCAGATGTCTTCTCTGATGGTCCATTCAACATACTTTCTACCAGAAATTAAATGTCCTGGTTTTGTCACTTCTGTGTACTGGTGTATAAATACTAGGACCCGGTTCATTTTCCACGTCCTTAAGCTGAGTTTTCGTTACAGATTTACGTGGACGAAAGATGGCAAGCCCTTTGACCTCTCCGACCCTCGGGTCATTGCCTCCAACAACTCAGGAACCTTCCGGATCCCGAATGAGGGGCAGATAGCTCACTTCCAGGGGAAATACCGCTGCTTCGCTTCGAACAAGCTGGGAGTGGCCATGTCGGAAGAAATAGAATTTATAGTTCCCAGTGAGTATTACGGTGGAGATTTCAACTTACAGACGTTTTTCTCAAGTGGTGCGGTAGGCGTTGTTCTTGGCTCTAATGAAACAACACATTATTTATTTAATCGGCGCATGTGCGCCTTATATCTTTTTTATAAGGGGAATTCTCTTCCAGGTCTTGACACGTAGAAGTGGATGGATGATCTTGAAAGCAATGGGAGGTTGCTGCACTTCAGCCAGTAACCTTGTGTCTAATTTGGGGAAACGTAGTATCTATTGCCTCGTGATGAGAACTAAGTTGTACATGGTATTAGTTAGGGTCAGCGAGTTATGCTGCAGTAACAAGTCATCCCCAAGCAGGGTTCACACAGGTCATTCCTAAATCTCGCAGTTCGCTATGGGTGTGGCAGCCGTCTGTCAGAGCAGCTGTTCTGTTCCCCACACAGCCTCCTGGGCGACTCACCCTCATGCCATGGCTGCAGCACGTGACCCTGGGCCACCAGGTTAGGGTCTGGGGCAGAGAGCATGAAAGTTTGCTTCCAACGAGAAGTCACACAGGTAACTTCTAGAGGTGAGTTGGCTCAGAGCTAATCCTAAAGCCCACCTGACGTCACCGTGGGAGTCCCTCAGAAGGATGCTTAGAAGTCATGCCTGCCGTAAACAGTCGTCATGGAAACTGCAAGCTGCTTACTGTGGAGGGGGTCATTGGTCAGTAACTATCACCCAAACTAAGACTGCATCACTGCCATGCTCATGGGACCTCTGATGACCAACCATCACAACTGGCTATCTTCCCTGATCTTAAAGGAGGCAAGGTCATGTGATCCTAACCAATGGTTCACAGAATAGATTCTTATGTAGAACACTGTCACCAGCGGCTGTGTGGCAGTTTCTCCTTACGGAGTTCTAAACTTTGAAGAACTCAAAGAACAGCGAAGCGCTCGCAGGATACAGCGGAAGAACAGGCACGCGCTTCTAAAACACACATCCACAATACGTGGGCCTTACCCCACAAGTCAGGGTGGGGACCGGATTGAAATGATTTTAGAGGAGAGAACAGCTAGATCAATGTAGACTCTGCACGTTATGTGTGCGTCTTAATATTTATAGAGTAACTACTCTAAAAGTATAGAAAAAATGATTATCAAACCATGTGGTGTGAGGAGGGGGAAGAAAAAGAGAGAAAATACAAAGTGGGATGAGCAGACATTTTAAAAACTAGAAGTAAATTCAGGTATATATCACTGATTAAAGATAAAAGCAAATGGACTAAATGCCCCAGTTAATAAAAAGCCATAAGCCATTTACAGCATAACACACCTAAAGCACGAGGATACAGAATCGGTAAACCACAAGGTGGAAATGATGGCCCAGCTAAATGCTATGCCAACGAGAGCAGGCGTGGTTGAATTAATACCAGGCACCACAGATCTTCTTTTAAAAAGGCTTCCTGGGTTAGTTCACTAAGTGTACATGGTGATAAACTATGTGAAGAAAAAAATAGAACCACATGGAGAAATAGACAAATCTATCATAATGATGAAAAACATTTCGCCTTATCTTTTCATTATTTGGGAACTCAAGCAGAAAAATCATCCATGCCAGGCACGTAGAAGGTTTAAAGACCCAGCCAGTGACCACGGCACAGCATGGTCGCTAAACCGGAAGAGCGCATTTTCTCGATATTTGGTGATTTACTAGCTGGGCAGAAAAGATGACCCTATGCAATTAAGTTAGAAATCAATAATGAAAAGAAAACTAGAAAAATCTTATATCTTTGCAAATTAATAGCCATATTTCTAAGTACTTTCTAAGTCAAATGAGAGACGGCCAAGGCCCTGGAATGCGTTCTGAAGTGAGGGTGGTGGAGATGCTGCACTGGGACACTTGCTGGACGCGGCTAGAGCATCGTGTACGTGGAGAGATATTTCTCATCCTCACTGGTTTCGGAAAAGAAGAGAGAGTGGCGTTTGGTTATGCCAGCTTCTTAGGTGTCATCATGTTGAGATGAAAATGAACACGCTAGCTCGAGGTGACAGTAAAGTCACAGAAAGGAGAGTGAAGGGGGAGAATAATATAGACGCCGAAAGTCAGTCCAACAGAGCGGCATGAGGACTTTATAGCTAAAAGGTGTACACGTGTATGAAAACCATTTTCAAAGATTTACACAAATGGGGAAAATGTCCGTTTTATGTGTCGAAAGACTAGGAAAGCTGAAATGTCGATTCTCCATGAATTGATCTACAGGACAACTGAACAGAAGTCTCTGTTGGTTGCTTTGGTTTGTCTGTTTGAGGAGTGTGACCTACTGACTCAAGGATGTGAGGGACAGAGGGGCCATTGGGTGGAATCTCTTGACTAAGGACAAGTCGGGGACGTGGCCCCGTGGAAAGACTGTGTCACTAGCCCGCATGGCGGTGTGCAGGCCGTGGAACTGCACGGAGAAACGGGAAACAAACCCACGCAGCTCTGAAAGAGGTGCGAAGAGCCAGCCGGGTTCTCTTTCCTTCTGGTTTTGAGACGGGAGGTGTGAAACGCTGACCATCCACACAGACAGCCTTCCTCTGGAGCCCTCTCTCACCTCACGGAGACGCTTCCTTCCCGGTGGATTAAAGACGGCACCATGCAGTGGAGGAGTATTTTAACAATACTCCTGACGTCAGGGTCGGCAGGGTTTCTTCAACAAGACGTGTTAAAGCTCCACACAAGGGGAAACACGGGAGTCCCGTCCCAGCCGGGAGAATGAATACCTTGTGGTGTAATCAGACACAAGTACAGCCCAGTAGGGAAGACTGCTGAGTCTTGGGAATAGGTTGGACACACATACACTGTGGTCTCATTTATGGGAGTTCAAACGTCCATCAAAATGCGATATTGTGTAGGGGCGTCATTTTGTGTGGCAAACTTGTAGTGCAAAGCAAGCGATTGATAAAAATAAAATGCAGGAGAGTAATGATCTCTCCTGGAACGAGGGGGGACAGACAGGTTGTGGCAAGATTATGTTTTTTGTGTAAGGGGCGGTGGCTGAAAGAGTGTTCGTGGTCTCTCTTTCCTTCTCGTTATCACTTGCGTTTGCTTTACAAAGGGCCCTTTTGTGCACGTGAAGTGAATAAGTATGCAGGATGCCGATTTGTTGGAATTGGCCTTACTGAGCTGGTAGGTGAAACTTTGTAGCATAGTCAGGGGCAAAGCAGTGACACATAAACTTGGAAATGACCTCAGGAGTTGGGGTTTGAAGTGACATTCAGTCGCAAGTGTTAATGAATTCTGGATCAGAAATTATCGCCATGGAAATTGTGGTTGAGGATGATAAAACTAGATTGATAGATCCATCATCTATCTATCTATCATCTATCTATCTATCTATCTATCTATCTATCTATCTATCTATCTATCTATCTTCTATCTGTCTCCCTACCTATCATCCATCTGAAATCAATTAGCTGAAATAAGATGAGAAAGAGAGAGGCAGGGAGGTTATTAAAAATCCCTGTAGAAGACATGGCGTTGGCTGGTCCCTACCCTGAATTCTGATGGTTGCTATGGAAACACAAAGGCAAAAGCAGCAGCTAGATCTGGTGCAGAGAGAGAAACGGCACATTCTCATCTACGATTCTCCATTAGAGGATTTTACAAACATGTTCTCTGGCTCTCGAAGCCGCCAGAGCCAAGACCTGAGCAATGGGAGGAGATTCTGGCCGGAACCCGCTGGCATTGTCATTAAGAGCGGCTCTCGGAGTTAGCTAAGTGGTGGGTAATAGCTTTGTGTTTCTGCTGCTCAGAAAAGAGAAAAATAAATTAGTTTCTGACGCATCGTGTTCAGTCTCTCCTGAAATGACTTCATCACCTGGCCGTGTTCTGTGAAGAGGACCCCAAGCCCAGTTCCCAGGGAATTCATACATCAGAGACCAGGTGGAGCGTTCACAGCCTTCATCACTTGAGTCTTTTCTAAAGCGGCAGAGATTGGATTCTCTTTTGATGTTAATAGGTCTTTGTGATTCGAGTGTTATCATGTATCTCTCTCATGTTTTAAAGTTTTCATCTGTAACCTCGAAGGCTTTAGCCACCTAAGTTCCAAAGCGAGCACATCAGCCTAAAATCCCATTGTCCCTGCAAACAGAAACCTTTATACACAGTGATTCTGGCCCCCTCCCTGCCGCCTCTGGAGACGTTAATCCCAAATATTCACAGACATCACAAAAGCTCATGTAGGAGAAGAGAGCCCCCTGCCCTGTCTGCCCTTATGATGGGGTGCGCGTTGCGGGGGTGGGGTGGGGGGACACACCTGAGCAAGACCCACACATGTGTAGTGATATTTTTGTTGTTGTTATCCTCACCCAAGGATATTTTTCCATTGAAAAATTTTTAGAAAGAGTGGAAGGGAGAGGGAAAGACAGAGAGAAACATCGATGTGAGAGAAACACATTGATTGGTTGCCTCCTGCCCGCGCCCCGACCAGGGCCCAGGCTGGGGAGGAGCCTGCAACTAAGGTACCTGCCCTTGACCGGAATCGAACCTGGGATCCTTTGGATCCTCAGGCTGACGCTCTATCTACTGAGCCAAACCTTCTAGGGCAGTGGTTCTCAACCTTCCTAGTGCCTCGACCCTTTATACGGTTCCTCATGTTGTGGTGACCCCCAACCATAAAATTATTTTCGTTGCTACTTCATCACTGTAATTTTGCTACTGTTATGAATCGTAATGTAAATATCTGATAGGCAGGATGTATTTTCATTGTTACAAATTGAACATAATTAAAGCATAGTGATTCATCACAAAAACAATATGTAATTATATGTGTGTTTTTCGATGGTCTTAGGCGACCCTCTGAAAGGGTCGTTCGAACCCCAAAGGGGTCGCGACCCACAGGTTGAGAACCGCTGTTCTAGGGCATGTCTAGTGATCTTTAAGTGCCACACTGTTTTGATTTATTTATGTGAAGTGGTTTCTTTAAACTCTGACCCACACCAATGAATTAGGGGTCAGTGCGGTGCCACTTTATGACGAGGACACAGGAGCACATTAAGGAGCAGGCTCTGGTCACGTGGCGCGTGTGGGAGTCAGGGTGCAGCCCTGGCAGCGGCTCCAGGGTGTGCGCGCACGGTCCTGTGCTCCCAGGGCCGCCTGTGCCCGTCATGCCGACAGCATCCTCTCTGTCAGCTGAAGGCGCCGCCCGCCTGGTCGAGGGCACCTGGCCGTCGGGGATCAGACTCAGGACCTGACTTGATCCTCGAGTCCCAGGAAGGACCCTCTGCAGAGTCCGTGCCTGGGGGTTGAGTCCCCAGGACATGTCTGTCGGACTGGTTAGTTAGCATGTCTAGTGGCGTTAACCCTCCCTGACGACGTGTCTTGGCAACTCTTTTTTTTTTTTTTCCTAATGCTTTTTTCACTGATTTTTAGAGAGAAAGGCGGAAGAGGGAGGGAAGGAGGGAGAGAAAGAGAAACATTGATGTGAGAGCAGAACATTGATTAGCTGCCTCCTGCACGATCCCCACCAAGGATAGAGCCCACGACCCAGGCACCTGCCCCGACAGGGAATCAGGACAGGCCCAACCAGCAGCCACACCGGCCAGGGCATGGCGACTCTACTGTGAGGCAGATGGGCAGGGGGGACTGTACAGCTTAGGTTTCATAGTGTCTTTCCCCAAGAAACTTCTAGTCACCCTTCCGAGGATCCCATAGAGGTGATGTCGTAGGACCCTAGGGTGCCAGAGAAAAGGAGAAAGGGCTGAAGCCGAGTAGCCCACGAGTGTTAGTATGAGGGCTCGGTTCATCCCTTAGGGCAGCCTACAGATTAGTGTGTTTCTCAGGCGTCTGGCGCTCCAGGCGCAAAGCCGTTAGCTTTCGTCGTGTGAGGTGCGGAGCGTGGATGGTGGGTTGCGGAGCCCTCCCACACCTCAGAGCCGGGAAGGTTTGCTTTGCAGGTTTGCTGTGTTGGTTGCTCTGATTAGAAGACTGGGGCGAGCTCACAGGTGTCTATGAAAGTGCTCCACGCAGATTCTGGCTGGGTTTCAGGACCCTCTGCCCTCGGAGCCGTTACCTGAAGTGCATCCATCAGCGGAAGAATAAATGTGGAAGCCGTTGGAGAAGAGGAGCGAGCAGATGCAGGAAGGCTGGGTGTCCTGCGGACCTCGGCTCTGCGGTCGGGGTTTCCAGGCCTCCGCACAGGGAGCATCCCCGTCAAGGCCGGGCTCTCCGAGGCTGCAGGAAGGAGGCTGCTCTGCACGCTGAGGGACTGCTCCTCTGAAGTGAGCCGGCAAGCGAGAGCCCAGAAGAAAAATGAGCGTGTATACATTCACTTCAGACAGTGTTGCACGTGTCCAAACTCAGCCTTGCTGATGTTTGTCGCCAGAGAAACACAATTAGCAAAAGTCACCGGTGAGGGTTACTTTTAGACAGGAGCCACGTCTTCATCGGAATGAAGCCGACTTCCTGCCCGCTGATGAGTTACGGTAATTAAGTTTCACTTCCTCTGCGCAGGTGGCAATGTTTGCCTTGCAGCCGGCATCACACTCACGAAACGGCTTCAAAGTTCAACAATAAGACCTAAAAAATAATCCCAAACAACCAACAAATTAATGTCCTTTGTCATACCTGTTCTCAGACCTTAAATGATTCCACATATAAATATTCTCCCCTGCCTCCGGATAGTAATTTCATCTTTGGCCAAAAGCTGTTCCAGAGACTTCTGCCACGGAATAAAAGGTTGGGTGGACTTACACATTTCATTTTACTTTCTGTCTTATTACTGGTACCTTGGAAGCCAGTTGAATTACACTATTGACATGTTCAGAATTGGCGCTTTATAACCTAGATTTAATTAATGCAGGGCTCCCCGGCTGTGCTCTCTGCGGGAATCGTTAGGTTTCTGAGTGCTCTGAGGGGGCGATTCTTTAATTAGGGCTTGCTGCATCTTATTCATCCTGCTTTACAGGGGGTGTCCCCTGGGAAGTGAGCATTCAGGTTGGGCCCCTGGCGACTGCTTGTTACAGTCAGAACTGCATGCTCCTTGCATTTCTGGAACCGGTTTTCCCTCCCTCCGCTGCCCCTCGTGTCTGAGTATAAGCACATCCCTAACTCCCTGGGGGCCCTGCGACCTTCAGCGCCACGGACGCTGGGCTTTGGCACTGAACACTGAGCGATGGTGGAGATTTGGAGTCTGGAAGTCACTAAGCTGGGCTCAGGAGAGGTGGCCCTCCTGCACAGTGACTGTCACACACCTGCTCAGTCAGAGCTGCCGCCCACAGCGAGGTGGCGCCGTTACTCCCTGCAGCTCGGAGCCTGGTGATGACTGAGCCGGCTCCTGCCTCTGACCTTTGACGGGGATGGAACGCTACCCACTTCCCGGAGCAGAAGCAGGACCCCGGTGGCTGCCATTCCAGGGGCCTGCCCAGGCCTGCAGGGAGACGTGCTGGAAGGAGGCGACTGGGAGGGAGCCCGCCGGGCCTGTCACATGAAAAAGCCCACCTTCCCAAGTGGCCAAGGCCGTGGAGTAACACCCTGCCCCCTGCAAGGCTGAGCTGGGGAAGGTCCTGGGTGCAAGACAGAAGCAGTTCATGCAGCTGCTGCGGCAGTCAGAGAAATGCCAGCACATTCCCCCAGCCGTGAGGGGAGGGCCGTGGGGGAAATGCAGGGGCTCCTCCAGCAGGAAAGACTACAGTAAGCCAGCGTGTCCCCCGCTTCTGAGAGTGACCGCCGTCTTCGTGACCCGCCCCTGAGGAAGGGAGCACAGGGCAGGGAAACCCTAGCACGTCCCACTCCGGAGGGTTAGGAATCCTTCCCGAGGCCCTTCCGCTCCACGAGAGCTGGGTGAGTCCCTAACGCAGGTCCCCTCGCAGGGTTCAAAGGCACCAGCGAAGGTCCAGCCAAACACGAGCTGAGCGTCCTTAGGGTTGTTGTGTAAATACCTTCACAGGAACACCCGGCGTGGGTGCTGGGGTGGAATCTGGCAGGGCTGTGGCTGCACGTCCGTGGGAGCTGCCTCGCCCTCAGGGGCGTCCCCCCAGGAGGAAGCACGTGCCGGACCATCACAGGGGCCCTTCCCTACGTCATGCCCCTCATTCGAAGTTCCTTTTCCTCGGAGCGGCTCCCACGAGAAGGCTCTCTGCCCCGTGACGTGGTCACGTTCCGCCTCACATGCAGCTGTGCCATTTCCCCCACGTGGGCTGGGAATCCCTTCTCCGGCGTGGTCACGCTCTGAACGGAGCACTCGCCAGTCACATGCAAAGTCGTCGCCGTAGAGCGAGGGAGCGTGTGTCTGCGGCAGAGAAATCGCAGTGTTTGCAGAAGGTGCCATGTCTCTCAGAGCTTAACATGTACAGAGCCCGTGGCTGGGTGCTCCCGCTCCGTGCAGACACACACACGGGTGTGCTGTGGCCGGATCCACGTCCCAGCGAAAGTGTCTGGTCAGCAGTTACAACTGCACAGGTAGTTGGGAACTTGTGTAAGGAGGCACCCAGGTTCCCACCAGCATCTCTCTCTGCAGGGGAGATCAGAGAACCAAGTTGGGGGTGCTGAGTTTATTTAAAATTCTCCAATTTTGTGAAAGAAGAATGCATCAAAGTATTACTTGTGCCATTGAAAGTTAACATTAACAATGTCTTGAAATGACTTTTTTGTACCAGATGTTCCAAAATTCCCCAAAGAAAAGATCGAGCCCCTTGAAGTGGAGGAGGGAGACCCCCTGGTCCTGCCCTGCAACCCGCCCACGGGGCTGCCCCCACTGCACATCTACTGGATGAACATCGGTGAGTGGGGTCTGTTCAACCGCATGCATGTCAGGTGACACTCTGGAGCTGAAGATAAGAACTAATAGCAGGTTATCACTGTGGAGCCAAACAGTTAGAAACTACCTGCCTAGAGTTTGCTCCAGGTTTTAAATACACACTTCAGGGTGTCCGTGAAAACACTAGACAACCACCAAACAGATCCCGTAAGCTTGTCACACGTGAAGAGCGTGCAGGCCAGTGATAGGACGCAGTGTGTCTGGGAGGAGGTCCTCCCTGTGTCCAACAACCTGCCTACCTTGGACAGTACCCACTCACTCACCCTGGACAGCACCCACTCACTGACCTTGGACAGCACACACTCACTCACCTTTCACAGCACCCACTCACTCACCTTTCACAGCACCCACTCACTCACCTTTGGGACAGCACCCATGTCAGGGCCCAGCACAACCAGTATCTGCTTGCGAGCATTATATTTCTTTTTTTAAAAAATATTTTTATTGGTTTCAGAGAAGAAGGGGGAGAGAGAGAAACATCAATGATGAGAGAGAATCATTGATCGGCTGCCTCCTGCATGTTCCCTACTGGGGATCAGAGCCCACAACCAGGACATGTGCCCTGACCTGGAATTGAAATGTGGCCTCCTGGTTCCTAGGTCACTGCTCAACTACTGAGCCACACTGGACAGTGTTATATTTCTGTTTTAGTAATGTTTCACCTGCCACATGCAGTGAAATAATGGAAAAGCCAAGAAGCTGAAAAAGGAAAAGGGAGATGAGATTATTTATTTATAATCCTCACCTGAGGCAGGATTTTATTGATTTGAGAGAGAGAGGAGAGGAAGAAGGAAGGAGAGAGAGAGAGAGAGAGAAGAAGAAGAAGAAGAAGAAGAAGAAGAAGAAGAAGAAGAAGAAGAAGAAGAAGAAGAAGAAGAAGAAGAAGAAGAAGAAGAAGAAGAAGAAAGAGAGAGAGAGAGAGAGAGAGAGAGAGAAACATCCATGTGAGAGTGAAATATCAGTTGGTTGCCTCCCGCATGTGCCCCAATCAGGGATCAAACTTGCCACCTGGGCATATGTCCTGACCTGCAGTCGAGCCTGCAACCTCTCGGTGCACGGGGCGATGCTCCAACCCACTGAGCCACACCGGCCGGGGCAGGACTGTTGCCCCTTTAACGACAGACATTCCTTTCCAGAACTGGAGCACATCCAGCAAGATGAGAGGGTGTACATGAGCCAGGAGGGGGACCTGTACTTTGCGAACGTGGAGGAACACGACAGCAGGAACGACTACTGCTGCTTCGCGGCCTTCCCCAGGCTGAGGACCATTGTGCAGAAAATGCCGATGAAGCTGACAGTCAACAGTTGTAAGTCCAGATAACTTACCCTCCGCCGCGCATGCTGAACGCCAACGTGTCTGTCATTTCATTCCGGCCGATGCCAGCGAGAGCCGGGTTGTTCAGTTCCACTCCAGGGAGGTCCCCCGACAGGAGACATGTGCCCCTGCAGCTGCCCGGCTCTGTCTCTGCAGCCAGAAAACCAAGCCAGTGGGCGCAGCAGACAGGATATTCCAGGGTTTCCCCAGCACGCGTCGGGCTCTGCTTCCCGGGACAAGTCAGCAGGCTGGAAAGATGGCAGAGCCCAGCAGTCAAAAATAAAAGAGGAGCAATATTACAAATTTCTAAAAAAAATTTTTTTTTAATTGATTTCAGAAAGGAAGGGAGAGAGAGAAACATCAATGGTGAGAGAGAATCATTCGTTGCCTGCCTCCTGCCTGCCCCCTATGAGGGATCGAGCCTGCAACCCAGGGAGGTGCCCTGACTGGGAATCGAACCTGCGACCTCCTGGTTCAAGGGTTTGAAGCTCAACCACTGAGCCACACCGGCCGGGCACTATTAAGATGTTTTTCACATAATTTTTTGTGTCTTTCCGAAATTGACAAGGTTATTTGAATTGCTTCCCTCCCCTACTCGGGTCTGGGTGCCCAAATGGGAAAGTATCATCAGGGGAGAAAGGCCCGGAGGGTCCCAGGGAGGACCATCGGCTCTGCTGGCGCCGGGTGGGCATGGCCGTCCGTTGTCTAGTTTGGTTGGTGACTTTCTCCGTCGTTACGTGTGGTGCGCGATGGATGCCAGGGCTCCGCTCGAGCGTCCTGGCAGCCTCCGCTCTCCTCTCTGAGCTGCCACTTGTGTCCTCCCGCCTGGATCCACCTGTGACAGTTCAAGGTTAAGCTCCGCGTGAATGTCCCTCCCACTGTCTCCCCAAAGACGGTGCGCTAGCGAAGCGTGTCCTGCCTCACGCGGTGCTTTTTCTTGGGAAGGAATGTGACCCCTCGTTCTCTGTTGGCATCCACACCCACCATTGTGTTTGTGAGTTTCCTCTTCCATTTTCTCATTTCAGTAAAGCATGCTAATGACTCGGGTTCACCCACAGAGGCCGGCTCCCGGGGTAAGTCGGTCGTGCGTGGTGTTGGCAGTGATTCTCAGCGTTGTAGCTCGTTGCCATCTCACAGTTTGAGTTTTTCCTCTGATACCTTTGTGAGTTTATTAAAATACTAATATTCATGTTACAGAAAATTCCTTAACATAGAGGTATCTATTAACCCCCCCCCCCTTAAATATATTAGGGGTGAGCTAATTAAATGTTAGACCGAATAGAGCAGGCTAATTTTTAAGTTGATGCTTTTGTGTGGCCCGCGAATGATGTCATAAATCTCCAAAGGCCCTTGGCTCCCCGCCCCTGGTTTAAATGAGAGACACAGACACAGAGACACACAGAGTTATTGGATGGGGCAGGCGCGACTCCGGTGCAGACCATAGAATCAGACTTCGGAGAACTGGAGGGCTTCCGTCAGGAAATGAGCTCTCCTCTCCACCGTGTTTGAATCCTGGGCCTGAAGGCCTGGCCAGGACAGGCTTCCTCCTCCGGCCTCACTCCCCTCGCTCCCCGGGGGTGCCCGGCGGCGTGCAGGAGGGCATCTCAGTGGAAACAGACCCAGATGTGGGGGGGGGGTGTCTGTCTGTCCACCACTCGCTCCCATAGAGGCATCGGGTTACATCTGTTCTGAGGACAGTTTAGAGCAGTGATGGCAAACCTATGACACGCGTGTCAGGGGTGACACGCGAACTCACTTTTTTGTTGATCTTTCTTTGTTAAATGGCATTTAAATATATAAAATAAATATCAAAAATATAAGTCTTTGTTTTACTATGGTTGCAAATATCAAAAAATTTCTATATGTGACACGGCACCAAAGTTAAATTAGGGTTTTTCAAAATGCTGACACGCCGAGCTCGAAAGGTTCGCCATCACTGGTCTAGAGCCACAGGACAGTCACTCTCTGAGCCTGAGAAAAACAGGACACTGTTCTTTTCCCTCCAGCGAATTCCATCAAGCAGAGAAAGCCCAGCCTGCTGCTGCCTCCGGCGGCGAGGGGCCCCGAGTCCGCGGTCACCGTCCTCCGGGGGGACACCCTGGTGCTGGAGTGCTTCGCCGAAGGCCTGTGAGTACCTGCCCCGTCCGACCGTCCGTCAGCCCCGACCGTCCGCGCGCTGTGTAAGGAATATGATGCCCATTGAGGCGCGCCTGCACACCCCGTTTTCGACCATTGCCTTTTTTTAAAAAGCATGAGTGAGCACATGTCTGGAGGGAGTAATTGTCACTCCACCATCCAGACTTCAGGCTGGCGCTGGGACTGATCTATAAGCCGCTCACTCCGTCAGTGTGGGAGTGAGGACGGGGTGATGGTGACAGAAGCCCCCTTCGCTCAGTCAGTCGGTGCCACCCTGAGGGCCCAGGCTCAGCCGGCAGCGGTGGAGGCAGGGACAGGTCTCGGTCCCGGGCTGGCCCTGTCCCTCCAGCTCCTCATCAGGTTCCCTGTCAGGTTCCCAGGACCCCATCTGCCTCTCCTGTCCCCTGCTTCCCGTGGCACGAGGGGGGCCCGTCCACATAATTAAGACAGTTTCACATGAGCCTAGAATTCCCTGGACTTTATCTGAAAAAAACACACACAAAAACACACGTTTCCAAATACCCCAGGAAAGCACGGGGGTCCTTCACTTGGTCATATCTTTTCTTTCTCTTTTGTTTAATTCACTTTGGGGTATGTTCTCGGTTAATCGGATCATATAGGTTTCCAGTGTACGTTTCCATGGTACGTGATCTGTATGTGGCATTGGGTGCCCACTGCCCAAAGGCCAATCGGGTTCCACCACCACCCACATTTCGGAATTATTGCGTTTACTGAGTAGCCTTCATAAGTCCTTGCGAACAAGGCCCATCTTCTAGAACACATGGTCAGGCAGGTGTTCTTTCTCCGGCCTCTTGTCTATCTGTGCTGCCTGCCTCCTGCCAGCCTCCGTGGGAAGCAGGCCCCAGCACCCGGTTCCTTCCTCATCTGCGAGCTGAGGGCGCCGACCCCCCCGACCCCCGTCGCTGGGCGGTGGTCAGTGGGGCAGGACGTGGAGTTCAGAAGTCGTGGTCGCCCGTAGCTCAGTGTACATTCCCAGTGAGTGGTTTTACATTACACTTCAGGGCCTGTTCCGGAAGCTGGTCCCTATTGTGTGAGAAGGTGGGCGCGTCCGGCCGGTGGGAACCATGTGGGAACCGCCACCCCGTGGTTTGGTGCCCATGAGCTTGTGGTGGGAGAAGTCACATTCTTTCAGGATTCGTCACAGTGCCCCTTGGCCCTGTGGGCCCAGTGACCTTTCAGCCACCCTCCCTCCCTGTTTCCCACAAAGGCCACAGTCTTCCTCCTGGGGTGGATGGTGGCACACGGCTGCTTTCAAAACCATGGAAACGCTGCCCCGTGCTGTCGAGAACATGCAGCCCAGGGAGGAATCTGCAGAAGGACAGAAACCTGTCGTCCTGGGACCCCGGGGCCCGGTGCATGGACTTCCCCTGACACGCACGGCCCTGCCTCCTGGTGCTGGGGTGTGGCCGGAGCCCGGCGGGTCCTGTTTCAGATGCAGGGGACTCGCTGTGGGATCTTAGAGAGCTGCTCATTGACCTTCCTCGGGAGGTTTAAGCCACGCCCTCTGCGGTCACAGACCAGTCATCCCTGGACGCCCACCTGGTCTCCTGTGTCAGGCGCGGCGTCTCGCACACCACATGGCGGCTGGATTTCTCCACATCCCGGGGCAGTGGAGGGGAGGGGAGCCCCGAGACCTGGAGTCCCCTCTCCTGTCTGTCTCCAGAATCTGAGCCACCTCGATGTTTAGCTTATTTCTGCACTTTTCAACCCAAGGAGCTGCTCCAAGCAGTCAAGGGATGGAGCGTCTCTGAATCAGAGAACATGTAGGAGAAGTGTCCACGTGTGGGTAGTCATCATGAAACAGGAAATTCTGCAGGGACGCTGGCGCCCAGCCTGACACTGTCACCTTCTCACATAATAAAGAGGTTAAACAATATACAGTGTCCCCTAAAAAGTATACACACTTTGAAGAGTTACATACCCCAATGGGTTAGATCTGAAAAGGAAGAACGGCAGTTGAGCTATCAGCTGTTACGTGTGTATACGTTTTGAGGGGGCACACCCTGTATTTTCCTTCGACTCTTCCTCGCTCAAACGCTGTCAGTAAATCTTCCTTCAATTCAATAGAAAAGAGCAAAAAACAATTTGGTGAGAATACAGCTGCCGTGCTGCGGAGGTGTGGCTGCGCCCCTGAAAAAGGAGCTTCGCCATCATCGCCTGACGCTCACGCTCCCTTCCCTCTGTCCTTCCAGGAATGGGGTTTAGAGGATTAGATTAATTCCAAGGACGGGCAGAAAGGGAGGGCTGGCACTACCGAAGTCTGGGCTTGTGAGGGCTCCGGGCTGGGGGGGACTGTGGTCCAAGCAGCTTGTGACTTGGCACGTCTCCATGTTGACAGATGGGGCGGGACTCAGCCATTCGGAGACTCGGGCGAAGCACCTGTTAGGCCGTGAGCTCCAAGGCCCGTGGCGAATGCATTCGTGCGGCCCCTGCGGGCCGCGTGCTCTCAGCCTGGCCCGTGTCGGCCGGGGGCTCAGGTCTGCAGCCAGCCCCTCGGCTGTCTCACCTGAGACATTGTCTGCAATATCTCAGGGCTCCCCTCGGCCGGCCGCTGGGTCCTCCTTTATCTCGTGTTCAAACTCATACAGGGGAGGGGCTGGTATTTCTGGCCACTTCCAGTCGTCACAGGGAGATTTCACACCTGACACCTCTCTTGCCCTATGTCTAGGCGTCCAGTTGTCCATCCTTCACCTAGCCATGCCCACGGCCCAGCCCGTCCCTGCAGTGGACCCCGTTCACAGGAGGAAGGGTGTGAGGAGGAGACTGTGGGAGGAGGTGCTGAGGGCGGCGGCCTGAGCCAGCCCCCATGTTCACCCTGGTGGTGTGGGCGGGTCTGGGCCCCGGGAATGCGAACGGACATCCCTCGGTGGGACTCTGAGGACACGCAGGAAAGCCACGCGATGAGGGGTGTGTCCTGTGGGGTTCTTTACCTCTCGTTTTGCCCATTTAGAGACATGTATCACTTCCTGATTGTTTTTCAGGCCAACACCACAGGTCGATTGGGAAAAAGTGGGTGGTGATTTACCAAAAGGAAGAGAAACGAAGGAGAATTACGGCAAGATGTTGAAGATAGAGAACGTCTCCTACGAGGACAAAGGGAATTACCGCTGCACAGCCAACAACTTCCTGGGCGTGGCCACGCACGATTTCCACGTCACGGTAGAAGGTACGTTCGCCGCCCCACGCGATTCACTTCTCTTCTGTTTAGCGGGAATGTGGCGCACCTACCCCTGTAAGCAGGTGTGTCACGGCAGTAACTGACCCCGGTGGGCTGTGGAGCGGGCTCTGGTGTCACATCACTCACTGGTCTGTCACTCACCACACGAACCACAGGGAGGGGACGGTGACAAAGGATGTCACAGCAGGGGTTCAGTCAGAGGCCTCCGGGCCTCCCTCACTTAGTCCTTCAATCCGGCCTCCTGGCCTCAGACTGTGAGAAAAAACGTTTATATTAATATACGCGTGACGCTGCCCAAGGTCGGATTCAGAGCAGTGAGCTCTGCGATGGGAGAAGGTCAGGAGGACTCCAGGAGAGCTCGGCCGCGTTTCCCGCCCCGTCATTAACTCGCCGGGTCCGCCACGAGTTCCCTCCACTTTCTGAACCTGCTTTTCCCCCCTTGAGTTGAGCGAGGCAGACACACTGTTGTCCCAGCTCTTTCCCAGGCACGTTTTTTCTGTCCGTGCCCGGAGGATATTCTCTATGTTAGTGATGGGGGAAGAATAACAGACTCTGAGGCGGAAAGATGAATTCTCTACCCAAAGGTGCAAACACACCTTGGTTATACTTAGGTTCTCTCTCTGGAAACCCAAGCCTTTTGGTCAGCAGCGGGGTGGCTGTTGTGTGTGGTGGGATAGAAGTCATTGGGCAGTGAGGCCATCATTTAAAAAGGGCGCCCTGAATGTAGACACCGGGGCCGTGCCTGCTGGGGGAGGGGAGGCTCCCTCGTCACCTGGGAATTGATTGACGCAGGCTTTCTCCCTGGGCGGAACCACACTGAGGTCCCCTGTTCGTGGGTGGTGAACTGTGCTGACCGAGCCTGTGGGATGATTCCCGGGTTTTCACTGTGTCGCACTGTGTGGGCCTCATGATGAGGGGAACTGTCCCCTTCAGGGCTCCATTCATGGATTGGCTTTCTAGGGCTTCCATTTATGTTCCAATAAGTTTGCCTTTCAAGCTTCAGTTTGCTCAAGGAGCCCCTAGGTCCAGGCCCCCCCACAACCCCCGTCCCAGTTACTGCGGAAAAGGAAGAAGGAGACACAAGTTTGCCCTACACACAGGTGTTAGCCCCACGGCTTAGCCAGGCTGCTGTTTGGGGGGAACCCGTGTTCCCCAGGCCTCTCCCACAGGGCGACTCGCTGGGTGAGGAGGACCTGGACCCAGGGCTGGGAACATAACGTTCTTATTCCCGCAGAACCAGACAGGAGAAGCCATTGCTGTGCACACACCAGGACACAGGCTGCAGCCTGGGACTTGGATCATCCAGAGAGGAGGCGTTTGAGAGGTGTCTGTTAGCTGTGATCGTAGTCCTCCTGGGTGTTTCTATATGGCTTGGCTGTGCCGGGCAGCAGGGCTATTTTCTGGGACCCCCGCCTCGGCCCCCGCACCAGCACCGGGACCCTGCCTGGCCCATAGCTGCTGCTGGACCCGGAGCTGCTGACTCCTGCAAACCCCTCCAGATGGCGGGCTTGGCTGCGGGAGCTGCACATCTTAGCAATCTGGCTGCGGTTTCCCGACTGGAAGGCAAGCTTTCAAAAGAATTGCAAGGGTTGCAAAAAAAAAAAGAAAAATAGAAAGGGAAGTCAAGGATGTAGAATAAATTATCCCCTTCGCTCTGTGGCCTGGAGGACTGCAAAGGAATACAGGTTTCCTGCACAGACTGTCCCCCCATTCATAAACCAGCCAGGAGCACTATTGAGATGCAAATCATGTTTTTATTGGGGACACTTAATCCTCTCCCCTTAATGAGACACCACACACTGCCTCTGCTGTGTTTCTGCGGTTGCCCTTCACGAATTCACGGACCAGGGAGAAGGCAGGGACCTCCTGGAGCCCTTCCCCTGTTTCAGTGTGGAAGCCGCATAAATACAACCCTCACTGGGCTCATGGGCGGGCCCGCGCGCTTCGCTTTCATTCAACTTTCCTCTGCCTTCGCCTGCCTCCTGCTCTCCCTGCTTTTGTCTTTGGCGTAGAAACTCAAATTAACCACATGGGCCACATGGGGAGGGGAGGGCGGCCGTGAACTTTGAAATTCGAGTCCATCTGAAAGCCCCCTTGTGCCTCAGTGAAAGCAGGCCTTGTGTGGGGTCCCCCCCACCCCCCATGTGAGAGTCCTTTACTCCCGGACACAGGCACACTCTGTGACTGAACCACAACAGTCTGAAGAGGGGGGCAAGCTGCATTTTCACGCCCTGTGATCAGCAGAAGCGAAAGCAGCCGGGAAGCTGACTCGGCAAAACGATTCCTTCCAGGTTCCACCATGAAAATATTGCACATGTAGTGAAGGAGACGTATCACGTACGCAAGGGAACACATGTAGACGTATGAATATATACACACATATTGTTACATTCTCTATTATATATATATATACTGTTCATTATGTCAATGTAAGAAGCATCCAAACCTGTAGAGAATTTTTATGAGTTTATTTGAGCCAAACTGATGAGTGGCCGGGAAGGGAAGTCTCAGCGGAAGGAGCAAGTGCTCCTGAGAAGGGAGTTTTGCAGCTTATTCTATCCACGACTGTCGTTCTATTCCATTATTAGAGCCTCGGTGCCCAACATCTGCACCTCACTTTCCAGCAGCATCAGGTCCATTTGTCACCGTATTTTTAAATTTACGATTATGACAACATGAGTAACGTTTCGACATGTGTCATGTTATATCTTAGGATGAAAGAATGGGATTCAATGATGGATTTCTCTCAGAATTTTCCATCTTAACGTTTCTCTCGCTTGAGCCTTTTTAAAAAACTCTTTTCAACCAGATCTTGCCTTTCAAGAATAGAGTTGCAGGGTCTAATTTTGGAAAACATCCCTGAGGGCCACCGGCCTCACCTCCACCTGCCCTGTCGCTGACGCCCTCAGACTCACCGTAGGTTCCTTAGCGAACCACACATAAAAGGGAGATCCTGGGCAACAGGAAGTAGTGAACCTCACCGCCCCCAGGACTGCCCCCATATTATGCCTTTTTCACGGGAATCTTTGGGGTCCATCATTTTAGTTCAACTCAGATTTGCTTGCCCTGTGTTTTTTCCTCACTGTGCCCAGCCAGGGAGACACAGGAAGAGTAACCTGGGCCATTAGGGACACGGTCTCGGGGCTCCCCCAGGACCCCAGTGCGTGGGTCTCGGTCTGGGCTGTCGGCAGGACAGTGTGGCCCGAGAGGATTCTGAGCTGGACCGACTAGGTCTCTCTCACAGCATGGCCAGGCCTGCCTGCCTGCCTCAGGCCCAGGTCACTTCTCCAGGAGAGACGGGGGTGAGAAGCGTAAAAAGAAGGTCCAAGCAGTTTCCTACAGAGAGCTGCGAGGAAAGGCTAGGGTCAAGGTTAGTCATGATTCCCAGTGAATATGCAGAACCTCCGAGGCAGCTGACAGACGGGACCTCGGGTTTGGAAGAGGAGGGGACGTGGGTGAAGTAATGGGCTCGGCTCCTCCATGGTCCAAAGGGTAGAGTCAGAACGAATTAGAAAACCCACAGCGTTTGCTTTGGCCTCGATGCTGCTCACACGGTGGTGGGTTCGAAGGTCCCAGGGCGGGCAGGGCAGGAAGTGGGGCTTGTTTCCTGGGGACACACTCAGGGAGGGGACTTCTCAAAGCTTAGCCTCCGTCCCCAGGTGAGAGGGGTGGACACGGTGCCACCTCAGCCCCTTCAGCTCCAACAGGGACCGACATTCAGGCAGACACCAAAGAATCAATGAGAAGAGAAATAGAAATCCTGACTTTATTACGTGTGAAGATGTAGGGAAATGTCATCGTGACCAAATCTCCTTAATGTTGCTATTTTTATGGAGACATGATTGACATGTTTGGAGAGATGATTGACATGAATTCATTGCAAGTGTACGACGTCGTGACTGATGTTTGTAGACATTGTGCTCTGATCACCCCGGTGACCCCAATGACCTCCAGATCCATCCACAGTTACAGGATTTTTCTTGTGATGAGAACCTTCGAGATCTTCTCTCTCAGCATCTTTCAAACACACCGCCCCGTGTTGCTAATCACGGTCACCACGCTGTACATTACACCCCGAGTCTCCTTCGCTGTGACGGGCTCTGAGAGCTTTCTGTGGGAAATGTGGTAATTCTCACGTTCATGGAGCTTTAACTCAAGTAGTTCATTTTAATGTGGTTTACGAGGAGACAAACAATAAAAATACCATAAAACATGCGCAAACAGACACACACACACACACACACACACAGGAACAAGCCCCTGCTCCTCAGTGAGGGGTGTGCAGTGTGTAATGTGACGATTGCATTTTAAACTAAATATTCACAGGTTATAGATCATGAACACGGATGTTTAACTTGGGGGTAAGAGTTACGTGTGTGCCCCCCCCCGCCCCCCCGTGCGACAGACACCGAAGCCCTTCTCTTCCTTGAACTTGCCAGGGTTAACTTGTATATTTTTGGTTTTCCTCGTAAATCTATTGGCATTTTCTTTCCATCTACTCACCTTTTCCCTCCTTTGCTTTAAAACGATGGTTACACGTTTTTCATTGTACGTAGCCATGTACTTTGAAGACTTTCCCGTTTTGACTAAAATGGAAATTCAGTCGTTTGTGGGAGATAGCCCAGCGACACTCGAAGGGAATGACCGCCGGCAGGAATGGTGCAATTTTCTCTGAAACCAGATTATCCGAACCATCCACACTTCCATCGAAACCTTTGATTTGCTCCTGACACGGTGATGTGCTTAAGTTGACAAGCACCACAGTCGTATTTGCACTAAAGAAACACGCCTGCTTCCGCCCTGAGCCTCCACTTATGATTACCACCCGGAGCCTGCGGCACAGGGAGATGCAAATAACTGAAGTGTTTCTTTTCCTCATTGTTTCAAGGGCAAAAGCTAAATGCTGCTGATAGGCTTCCCTCCCTCTTACAAAAGGCTCTCTAGGAATTAATGCTGCCAAGTGCTTTCCTAGATGAACGGGCAGGGACAGGTATGGATATGAAGTGCTGCAAAGCCATTCGTTCAGAGACACTGAAACTAAGGGTGGAACATTCTATTGCTTACTATCGGCAACGTTCATCTCCCTGCCGCTCCTGGAAGCTAAGCTGCAGCCAGCACCACGGAGCGCCATCTGCCTCTCCTCCATGCTCTGCTGTTGAGACGGATGCGTGCAGCAAAATACCGAAATAGCAATTACTGATACCTGGTTTTAGTAGGTTGAATTTCTTATCCATGCTGACAGTCCAAATGAGAACACACACATGGGCACCCACACGTGCATGCACACATGCACATACAAGCATGTGCACACACATGTGCACCCACATGAACACAAGCACATATGCATACACATGCACGCACACACAAGCGCACACACATGTGAATACACAAGCACATGTGCATACAGGCGCACACACGCACCCTGACCTTACAGAACACTCGGCAAACCTCCCTGAACCCCTGCTGTGTCTGCCACCTGCTGGTGTGCGGTGTGCGGTGTGCATGGAAGTGAGGGCCTTGACGTTGGTGGACCCTCTGATGTGGATAAATCTCTGAGGAGTCCATGACTTTGTTCCCAGAGCCCCCTCGCTGGACGAAGAAACCCCAGAGTGGCGTGTATAGCACGGGGAGCAGCGGCATCCTGCTGTGCGAGGCGGAGGGCGAGCCCGAGCCCGTCATCCGGTGGCGAGTCAATGGCATCCCCATAGAGGGTAAGTGGCAACCAGCTGTGATGGGGGCGGAAGGCCATGAAAAGCCACGGAAGGCCATGCACAGAGGGCCACGCCCACCAGCATGGCTCAGTGGTTGAGCATTGACCTATGAACCAGGAGGTTGCTTTTTGATTCCCGGTCAGGGTACATGCCTGGGTGTGGGCTCGATCCCCAGTAGGAGGCCTGCAGGAGGCAGCCCACCAATGATTCTCTCTCACCATTGATGTCTCTCTCTCTCTCTCCCTCTTCCTCTTCCTCTTCCTTCCTCTCTGGAATCAATAAAAATCATATTTTAAAGAAAAGCAAAGAGGGCAGGAAGGGAGACAGAGGGAAGGTGTGGGGACAGGGCCAGTGTTGGCGCCAGGTGGTGAACGTGGGCATTACGTTGGGCAGGATCAGGACCTGAATTTATAAGAGAAGTGACGTCCAGGTCATAGCCGGACAGGCCTGCTAAAGGGAAATGGGGCATGTCACCCTCGGGTGTGGCTGTGGAGAGGCGAGGAGCCTGAGGCAGTCGCCGTTTTGGCAATAAATACCAAACTGCGGAGGGCTCTGGGAACAAAACTCACAGCTGACGTTGGGAAAGTCTAAAGAATCAGATGCAGTGGACAATCACTCACCCTCAACGGCTCTTAAAATATAAATGCTGTGTGACACGCGTGATAGACGGTGCATGAATGTTTTAGGTCCCATGTTTCTCACACTGACACTCTAATCTCCTGCAGAAAACCCATTTGCCGGTGACGTTGTCTCCCCCGGGGAGGTCAGCTTCACGGACCTGCAGCCCAACCACACGGCCGTGTACCAGTGCGAGGCCTCCAACGCGCACGGCACCATCCTGGCCAACGCCAACGTCGACGTGGTCGGTGAGCGCCCCCCGCCCACAAGGAGGCCCTTCCCCCGGCCGTGGTCCAGGGCACGCCGATCAAGGCCACATACACCAGCTCGTTGAATCCTTCACGCATAAAACATGGGCAGGCAGAGCCCTTCCGTCTGACATGTGGGCGTCAGACTTTCTACTAAAGTTATACCTGCACAAGTGTGTAGATTTTGGGTAGCTTCTAACTCAAGAACAGGGACTGTAATACTCTGCTCTGTTCCATTCTCATAATATTCTCTGGCTGAATAAAGAGCATTTAGTTTGCACATGTTGTTTCTTTATTTTTAAAACTTATCATTATGGTTGAGAGTATTACAGGTGTCTCCTATGTCCCCCCAAATTTGAAGGACAATGAGGTACCACCTCCCACCTGCCAGATTGGCTACCATCAATAAATCAACAAACAGCCATTGCTGGCGAGGATGTGGAGAAAAGGGAACCCTAGTACGCAGCTGGTGGGAATGCAGGCTGGTGCAGCCGCTGTGGAAAACAGTGTGGAGTTTCCTCAACCAATTAAAAATCAGCGGCCATTTGACCCAGCGATCCCACTGTTGGGAATATGTCCTAAGAAACCGGAAACAGTGATTCAAAAGCACGTGTGCACCCCTATGCTCATAGCAGCACAGTTTACAGTAGTCAAGGTCATTTCTTATTTGCACGTTTCAAACTGTTCACGTGGTTTCCGAATAGATGTCCGTCCACTGATAGAAACTGAGGATGAGGAGAGCTACGCCGCCGTGGCGGGGTCCAGCGCCTTCCTGCGCTGCGAGTTCTTCGCCTCGCCCCAGGCCATGGTGTCCTGGTAGGTGACCGCGTGCCGCGTCCCTGAGAGAAGGTCAGCTGTGGGTCTGTCTTTGTTTCCTCCTCTGTCACATGACAGGCGCCCTGTTTCCGCGTTGCCACCTGTACCCAGGCCCCAGGGGAGATGGGGAAGCACCCTAATTGCCACCCTCCCTGGGAGCATGGACCAGCCCCGTGGGTTTGCTCATTCAGGGAGACTGGGGGAAAGCAAAGAATCGGGGTGATTATGAAAATAAACTTAGAGTATGTCCCATGCCCGGGGCCTCTAAGGTCCTGTGTCCTGAATTACTGCTGTGTGAGGCCACGTCTAGATAGTGATGGAGCCTGCGTTCATTCTAACCCTGCTGACACCCTCTCCAACGTGGGTGTGCATTTAACGTCACTCTGTTGCCGGTGTCATGAGTCTAGCCATGTTGTTACATGGACCGACATGCGTGTTGCCTCACTGGCCACACGCGGTGTTTCAGGGGTTCCCACGTCATTCCCAACGTGCTGGGGGCTGAGACTAGAGTGGGCGGAGCAGGGCCAGCCGGTCTGGGTCAGAGCCTGCCTTTACCTAAAGTTCGGGGATGTTGTTCAGCGCCTTCCTGCTCTGCGAGTTCTTCGCCTCGCCCCAGGCCATGGTGTCCTGGTAGGTGACCGCGTGCCGCGTCCCTGAGAGAAGGTCAGCCGCGGGTCTGTCTTCGTTTCCTCCTCCGTCACGTGACAGGCGCCCTCTTTCCGCGTTGCCACCTGTACCCGGGCCCCAGGGAAGACGGGAAGCGCCCTAATCGCACCCTCCCCAGGAGCATGGACCAGTCCCGTGGGTGTGCTCATTCGGGGAGATTGGGGGAAAGCAAAGAATCGGGGTGATTATGAAAATGAACTTAGAGTGTGTCCCACGCCGGGTGCCTCTAAGGTCCCGTGTCCTGAATTACTGCTGTGTGAGGCCACGTCTAGATAGTGATGGAGCCTGCGTTCATTCTAACCCTGCTGACACCCTCTCCAACGTGGGTGTGCATTTAACGTCACTCTGTTGCCGGTGTCATGAGTCTAGCCATGTTGTTACATGGACCGACATGCGTGTTGCCTCACTGGCCACACGCGGTGTTTCAGGGGTTCCCACGTCATTCCCAACGTGCTGGGGGCTGAGACTAGAGTGGGCGGAGCAGGGCCAGCCGGTCTGGGTCAGAGCCTGCCTTTACCTAAAGTTCGGGGATGTTGTTCCTTGTGGATGTTTAGTGTGTTGTTTTTGATCTTTAAAACTACTCCATTAACACATTACTGATCTTGAACACTGAGATTTGGGGCACCTCTTCCGTTTTGCCTGGGAGGCCCTGCTTCCCTGGCCTGACCCAGGCCCCGGCCCTTGCAATCCGGTGGGGGCAGCGGTGTGTCCTGGGGAATTTCAGCCCACAGCCTGCTGCTAGGAAGTGTGCAGGCTGGGGCAGGGTGTGCATGGACGATGGTGAATGAGGGAAATGACTCGGGTTTGCAGGGTAGACAGAACCCAGGCCGACAGGACAGGAAGGACCCCGGGCCTGTGACGTCTCCACTGACCAGTGGCCCCCAGCACAGCAGGGGTTGTGGAGATCATAGTCCCTCGATTCCCAGCCTCCCTTCCAAGCCCCAGGGGAGATAGGGAAGTGCCCCAATTGCCACCCTCCCCCCGAGCATGCACCAGCCCTGTGGGTTCACCATCAGAGAACATTTATTCAGCACCAAGGACAGCTGCAGGGCGGTATGACCAGCAGAGAAATACAGGGGCCCCTGCAGGTGTGTTTCAGTGGCTGACCATTGACCTATGAACCGGGAGGTCTCAGTTTGATTGCTGGTCAGGGCACATGCCTGGGTTGCAGGCTGGATCCTCACTGTGGGGCATGCAGGAGGCAGCTGATCAATGATTCTCTCTCATCATTGATGTTTCTCTCTCTTTATCCCTCACTCTTTCTCTAAAAATCAGTGAAAACATATTTTAAAAAATACAGCAGAAGCATGGGGCCCGGACCCGAGCTCCCCTGGGCACCGTCGTTGGGGCAGACACGACAGTCGGTCACCCACAGGGGGGACATGTGAGCCCCAGGGAACACCGCGTGAGGCCAGCGAGGCTCCCGCGGAAGGGAAAGCTCGCACGACCTCCGCTAGTGCCCAGGGCGCACAGCCACGCTGACCCACGCCCTCTGTCCACAGGCAGAAGGTGGACGCAGCCAGGCCTCTCGAAGGCCCACGGTACCACGTCCACGCGAACGGGACTCTGCAGGTCCGCGAGGCCACCGTGGAGGACGCGGGCGCCTACTCCTGCTGGGTGGAGAACGCGCAGGGGAAGACCGCAGTCACGGCCAGTCTGGACATCCGCAGTGAGTCCGCTCTGTTTCCGCCTGGCGTGAACTCTTAACGCGGGTCCCATAGGTCGCCACTTTCCCAAGTGAAATGGGATGTAAGCAACACCGGCCAGGGCAAGAAATCGAGTCGTCGTTTTTTTAAAAAAACAAACATGGAGGCCTTTGTTTGCTCGCACTCCTTGCTCGCTGAGCCCAGGACGCAGGGAAATCGCTAAGCTATTGATCACCCCTCCCGCGTGAACCGCCGTGGCCCAGGCCCGGGTGGAAGCGATCAGCACTGCGCTGTGATCCTGGGGTACCAGCGACAGGCTCTGCAGGGGACCCGCCGTCCCGCCGGCAGCTGTGGCTGGTGGAGCTGCAGGCCCAGGGAACGGGGGTGCCCTGCAGTCCTAACCCCCGTGTTCCTTCGGTGCCACAGATGCCACGAAGCTCCACGTCTCCCCCAGGGACCCCCGCGTCCCCCGGTCGCACACACTGGAGCTGCACTGCGAGAGCGAGTGCGACCCGCACCTGAAGCCGAGTCTGAGGTTGACCTGGAGCAAAGGGGGCGCCGCCTTCGAGACCAACGGCACCGAGGATGGCAGGTGGGCGAGCGGGGGCGGCAGGAGCAGGTGTGAAAGGTCAACACTGGATCGGTAACCGGACAGCCAGTGGGTCCAGCTGCCTGTCACTGCTTGAGCCAATTCAGCACAGACAGGCTTGAATCATTTTTGAGTGTTTATTCCAATCCTGCCGGGGAGGCTTGGGGAGGCACGTGTGTGCCTCCATCCTGGGTACAGAGGGAAGAAAAAATGCAGACGAGTCCAACTGGCGTGGCTCAGTGGTTGAGCATTGACCTATGAACCAGGAGGTCACGGTTCAATTTCCCGGTCAGGGCACATGCCTGGGGCGTGCAGGAGGTTGATTGATGTTTCTCTCTCACCAATGTTTTTCTCTCATTGATGTTTCTCTCTCCATCTCCCTTCCTCTGTCTCTCTAAAAAAATAAATAAATAAGAAAAACATATTAAAGAAAAACAAAGAACATAAAAACCCCTCAGAGCAGTTTCTCTCCCCACAGGACATTTATATCAACTAACTGAGCAAACTGCTGTGAACATATTTCAAATGTAATGAGACTTTACTTTTTAAGAAAATACTTGAATTCTTATGTTAACAGTACATAGATATGGTAAAAGTTGTGATTCATCTTAACGGTTTTTCATATAGTGATCTGATTACAAAGTGGCAAAAGTGGGAGGAATGATAGAAGCTATGGGCAAACGATGTAGGAAAAGAAGGGCTGGTCTGCCCCCTGCTGGTCGGATGAATCCCACAGTTTAGCTGCTGTCAGACTCCAGGGTGTAGCCGGCTCAGGGGTGGAGGGTGGGGAAATGGAAACTGAAATGGGTCAGAAACAGAGATTATCTGAGTCCATGGGGACGTGGGGCGCGTGGTCCGGGGCAGCCACAGCAGCTCCTTTGAAAGAAGCGGCCCGGCTGATTCTGCGTGGAGTTCCCTAACATACTCCCCGCGTGGCAGGTGTGAGACACGGACTCTCAGGCACACCCAGCGGCACAGGGCCGCATGGAGCCGTCCTGTGTGGCTGGGCTTGGTCACTAAACACAACACAACACAAAACAAAATAAAACTCCTCCCTTTGTGCTGGCGGATCTGCGTGTGCCTGAGCGATGCTTTTTACATCCAGTTTCCGAAGGCGTGGCTCTCTAACCACGTTTGCATTGCGTGAAGTTGGCTTTGGTTTTTACACGTGCTCGAATGGTGTTCATTGGGGAATACATTTTTTAAAAATGTTTTTATTGATTTTAGAGAGAGAGGAAGGGAGAGGGAGAGAGAGATAGAAACACCAATGCTGAGAGAGAATCATCGATCAGCTGCCTTCTGCACGCCTCCTACTGGGGATCGAGCCCGAAACCCGGGCATGTGCCCTGACAGGGAATCAAACCGTGACCTCCTGGTTCATGGGCCGACGCTCAACCACTGAGCCACACCGGCCGGGCAGGAAAACATATTTTTGAAAGGATTGTGTTTGTCATTTCTGCTCTTTTCTTCCTCACCCTGTGCTCCCTGTCCCCTGCAGGATCCTGATTGACGGAGCCCACCTGACCATCTCCAACCTCACCCTGGAGGACCAAGGCGTCTACACCTGCTCGGCTCACACAGCTCTCGACAGCACTGCCAACGAGACTCGCGTGACCGTGATCGGTGAGCGGCTCGCTGTGGGAACCCCTCCGTTACGATGACATTCAGCCAATGATTACCTGGGCCCCTGCACTTATGTTGTTAGGTTTTTTCAATTAAGTAGCAGCCCAGTTTCAAATACTTTTTCCTCATCTTCCCTTAAAGACTTGATGCTTCATTCCTTTCCCTCTGCTAATACCCTTGCCAAGGCACAGTGGGGGGCAGGTGATGCTGTAGGGGGTGCTGGGGGCGGGGGGTCAAGCACAGGCCTTAGCTCTCGGGGATCTTGGGAGGATCTTCCCACAGGGGGGCAGCATGAGGACACTGCCTGTGACAGGGACCCGGAGGGGACGCGGCCCAGGGAGGAGGGAGGCTGGCCAGGTGCCTGGTGAGGGGTCGGCAAGCCAGGCCACCTGCTCTCTCCTCACCTTTACCTTTTGTTTTCAACCAGATGTTCCGGATCCCCCCGAGAACCTTCGCTTGTCGGAACGACAGAACAGGAGCGTGCGGCTGACGTGGGACGCCGGGGACAGCCATAACAGCAACATCAGTGGTAGGGGCGGCCTGGGACCCCTGCTACTTACCCTCACGACAAAGCGCGTCTCAAAGCCACGCCTGACACGGCTGGCGGGATCTCCTGTAAAACCTTTTTTTTAGATGTGAGTCTCCCTCTCACCCACACGCGCTCCTTTGCTGTTTCCCCAGGGTATGTCGTGGAGTTTGAGGGCAACAGGGAGGAGCCGGGCCGGTGGGAGACGCTGGCGGACGTCCCCGGGGAGGAGACCACGGTGCTGCTGCCTCTGGCACCCTACGTGAGGTACCAGTTCAGGGTCATCGCCGCCAACGAAGTGGGCAGGAGCCGCCCCAGCAGGCCGAGCGAGCACCACGAAACGCCTCCCGCAGGTGGGTCTGCGCACAGGTTCCCATCCAGCATTTCAGTCGGGCCCCGTTTGGCCGCCTCTACAAAGAACTGCTAGAGTGGTCCAGGCTTTTAGACTTCAGGTTTTTCCCAAGTCAGAGCCGGAGAAGTTCTGTAAATTAACCACTCACCCACTGTCTTGTTCAGAAGGATGTAAACGTCGGCCACAGAGCAGGAGCCGGCGGGCAGGGATGTGAGCCAGCGTTCCCCTGAGTGACTTCTGATAGCGGAACATCGTGGTACAAGCACATGCCGAGTGAGCTCAAGGTGGATTTCAGTGTATGGAGAGCAAGTCGGGGCTCCACTTTGTTTGTTTGTTTGTTTGCTTTTTGTTGATCCTCACCCGAGGGTATTTTTTCATTGATATTTAGAGAGAGTGGAAGGGAAGGAGGGGCAGAGACAGAGAGAGAAACATCGAAGTGAGAGAGACACATTGGTTGCCTCCCGAATGTGCCCCAACCAGGGCCAAGAATCAAGCCTGCAACTGAGGTATGTGCCCTTCACCAGAATCGAACCTGGGACCCTTCAACCCGCCCGCCTGTGCTCCATCCACTGAGCCAAATTGGAAGAGCAGTTTTAAAATTAAGACACATGGAAGCAAACCATCTGCTGCTCTCCAGGGAATAAGTATGACTTCAGGAACAGGACTTCACTCCTTTAAATAAAATACATGTTTTCAAGCTGCCTCACGGGAGGTAATGGATGAGCTAACTAAAATTATTGTGGTAATCATCTTGCAGTATATACATACTAGAGGCCCAGTACAGGGGTACACCAGTGGGGTCCCTTGGCTTGGCCTGTACCCTCTCGAAATCTGGGACCCCTCGGGGGATGTCAGATAGCCGGTTTCGGCCCGATCCCCGCAGGCATGATCCAGACAGGAGGGAGCCCAATCTTGTGTGTTGAGCATCTGTCCCCTGGTGGTCAGTGTGTGTCATAGCGACCAGTCGTTCAGTCGTTCAGTCGCTTAGACTTTGATATGTATAGATACGCATAAAATGTATGTCCATATTTGAATATAGTCTTATATTGTCAACTCATTATATTGACCACCTTAAACTTATACAATGTTATATGTCAATTACATCTCAGTAATGCTATCTTAAATCTTTTTAGGGACTGAGCTTGATGGGAATCAATAAGTATATCAGTTATTTAATATATTTATTTACGGGGGGACGATAGATGATTTGTCTATAGGCCATACAATGGGGAAAAGAATTTTAATGCTTGTCATTTTTCAGCTCCAGACAAGAATCCACAAAACATAAGGGTTCAAGCCTCTCAGCCCAAGGAAATGGTTATCAAGTGGGAGGTGTGTATTCTTTACCATGTTTCTTTGTGTT